ATTAAGAAAACCAAAATCATGGCATCCGGCCCTCTCAATTCCTGGCAATAGATGGGGAAGAAATGGAGGTAGTGACAGATTTTATTTTTCTGGGCTCCAAGATCACCTCAGATGGAGACTGCAGCCAAGAAATTAAAAGACGCTTGCTCCTGGGGAGGAAAGCTATGGCAAATCTAGACAGCATACTAAAAAGCAGAGACATCACCCTGCCAACAAAAGTGCGTATAGTCCAGGCCATGGTTTTCCCAGTTGCAATGTATGGCTGTGAAAGTTGGACCATAAGAAAGGCTGAGCGCCAAAAGAATTGAGGCCTTTGAACTATGGTGCTGGAGAAGACTCCTGCGAGTCCCTTGGACTGCAAGGCGTTCAAACCGGTCAGTCCTAGAAGAGATCAACCCCGACTGCTCTTTAGAAGGCCAGATCCTGAAGTTGAAACTCAAGTACTTTGGCCACCTAATGAGAAGGAAGGACTCACTGGAGAAGGGCCTAATGCTGGGAAAGATTGAGGGCAATAGAAGAAGGGGACGACAGAGAATGAGATGGCTGGATGGAGTCACTGAAGCAATAGGTGTGAATTTAAATGGACTCCAGAAGATGGTAGAGGACAGGAAGACCTGGAGGAATGTTGTCCATGGGGTCGCGATGGGTCGGACACGACTTCGCAATTAACAACAACAACAATTTAATGAAAAGAAGGACTAAAGGCGCCTTCATAGCAGTGTTCCAACATCTGAGGGGCTGCCACAAGAAGAGGGAGTCAAGCTAGTCTCCAAAGCACCTGAAGGCAGGACAAGAAGCAACGGATGGAAACTAATCAAGGAGGGATCAATCTAGAATTAAGGAAAAATTTCCTGACAGAACAATCAGTGGAACAACCTGCCTCCAGAAGCGGTGAATGCTCCAACACTGGAAGCTTTTAAGAAGAGACTGGACAGCCATTTGTCTGAAATGGTATAGGGCAGGGGTGTCAAACTTGCAACATCACGTGATGTGTCGTGATGTATCGTGACTTTTTTGCCATTGCCAGCAATGGGGTGGGCATGGTTTTGCTATGATGCATCCGGCCCACGGGCTGGCAGTTTGACATCCTTGGAATAGGGTTTCCTGCCTGAGCAGGGGGTTGGACTAGACAACCTCCAAGGTCCCTTCCAACTTTATTATTCTGTTAAAGAGTTTATAATTTTAGAAATATTACCTGGTTTTAACATTTTAAAAACAAAATATACACTCAATCTATAAACAGGAGGAAATGACATAGTGGCAGAAAATATCAGTAAAATGGTTGACTGCATGTGTAACAATATGCAGAGAAAAAACAAGAAAAGAAATGTCTTAAAAGCTACCAGCTTTATTCAACAATAGCTGGTAGCTAATATGAATTAAACAATTCTAGCAAAGGTGACTAATTAAACTAGTCTTTCTTAGCCTTCTCACCTTCATATGTTGAAAATAATAGTACTTTTTAATCTTACTTTGAATTAAAATACAAATAGCAATCTGAAGACTATATAAAATGGAAACAGGCAAACAAATCAGAATAATTTGAAAAAAAGAAGTAAAAATCATTCATTGTTTCACATATTTGTTTAAAATACAACAACATTTGTGAAATAAAATCATTTTTTCACTCTGTAGGTTGGTGCTAATATAAATCTACGCTCACTCAGCCCAGCTTTTTGGGAGAAAGTTGGTGTTTCACAGTATTTTCATAAAACATCAAAACATTTCATGGAAAAAAACAATAAATTTCAAATATATACTAATGCAGTTCCATGCTAAAAAAATATGACTCAGAAGTCATTTTTATAGATTTACAGTTTTAGATTACTGAAATATGAGTTGAATCTAAATTATAATTTAATCAAGCCAGATTTATAAATAATATTAAGCCAAAAACAAATCAGTTTATTGGCAATTTATATGTTAACCACATATTTTTCTCCCTAGCTTTTTTTTTTTTTTTTTTTTTTGATCAACCAAGTGTTTATCAGGTGATTGGGTCAGGCATTGACTAACTGGCCTGTTGCCCAAACATGACATCATGGACAATGCAGTGGTGGCAAACCTATGGCACGAATGCCAGAGGCGGCACTTAGAGTCCTCTCTGTGGGCATGTGTGCCATCGCCCCAGTCCTAGGCCTTCAGCTGGGTTTTATAAAACCTTTTCACTTTAGGCCTCCGCCGCCATGTACAAAAAAAAAGGTTCAATCAATCAGTCAATTTCAACTTCTCGCAGGGAAAAAAAAATCTTGCAAAGTTGGAATTGATTGATTGAATTTTTTAGTCCCACCCAGTTTGCTGTTACCACCACAGCCATGCCCAGCCAATGGGCCACACCCAGCCAATGGGCCACACCCACCCGGCACCCAACGATACATAAGATGGTTTTGGGTTGCAGTTTGGGCACTCGGTCTCTAAAAGGTTTGCCATCACTGGACTATGAGAAAGTAATTGACCTAAAATCATCCCGCTGGCTTTCATGCCTAAGATAGAACTAGAACTCACCGTCTCCTGGTTTCTAACTTGGTGCCTTATCCAGCAGACCAAATTGGCTCTCACTGTGTTAACCATACATAATCTATTATGTGTGGCTTTAAGATAGTTTTTAAGATCCATTGGTTTCCCTATGAATTATAGTACAATATAGTATAATCTGTATGCTATGGTGTGATATGGCATGGTATAATTCATTCTTGATGCCATCCATTTAGCCAGGAAAAGTTTAAATATATAGTCTTTCCAATATCTGTTTATTTCAAAAACATTAGTATACATAATCTTGTATCACTGACTTAACTTTTAAAATTCTTACAAGCGGGTGTGTGTGTGTGTGTGTGTATGAGTCCCTTTGCAAAAAGAACCAAACAGGATCATGAAACCTGGTTGATTGCTTACTTTTCTGTAGAACTAAGACAGTAACAGTACAATGAGGTGCCACCTGAATAATTTAGGTAGCACACTTTTTCAAGATAATCATTATAGTAGTGACAAAGGTTTTTTGTACAAGTGCACAATAATAAAAAAAATCCCAAATAGAATCAATATCTATCTATACAAGAAGATTCCCTACCTGGAGAGACAATGTCTCTATAACTCTGGACACACACAAGCAACAAAGCATTTGTGTCTTTAATGCCTGTACCCACTGCAGAAATATTTGTACTAGCCTTATCTCACCATTACTGAATAAATACCCAGGGCACATAAGTCGAGTCTACACTCCCTGCTTCTTTCAGATACCAATTATACAAGGTTGCTATGACCTGTACTACAAACTAGACTTAATGATAGATTTATGACATACTGAAATGCTCTGTCACTTCATACAGTCTTCCATATACTAACTTTTATGTTCCCCTATACCCCTATAATGCTTTACCTCTTTTATATTCTTGTTTTTATATACACTTTGTTTTAACGTATTTTTATATCTTCTAGCTTTTCATCATTACTAGACTCTGATGTAATTTTTGTGCTTTTTAATTGACTACCCCAATCCTCCTTATGCTGGTTTATGATCACAATAAAGATTTAATTTAATTTAAATTTTAATTTGTAACTGGAGTCAAAGCTATATTTGAAAACCTACTCATATCTCTGCCTGACGTAGATCTTCATAGCAATGTAAAGGTGAAAAAGGTCAAGGTTTCCGTGTCCAGCATGTCCAACTCTAGGGGGCGGAGCTCATCTCCTTTTCTTGGCCAAGGGAGCCAGCATTGTTCAAAGACATTTTCTGTGGTCATGTGGCCAGCATGGCTGTATGCCAAAGGCACATGGATTGCTGTTACCTTCCCACCGAAGAGGTATCTATTAATCTACTCCAGGGGTTCTCAACCTTGGCAACTTTAAGACTTGTGGTCTTCAACTTCCAGAATTCCTCAGCCAGCTTTGCTGGCTGAGGAATTCTGGGAGTTGAAGTCCACAAGTCTTAAAGTTGCCAAGGTGAGAACCCCTGATCTACTCAGATGTGCATGCTTTCAGACTGCTAGGTGGGCAGGAACTGCTGAGCCATCATACTTCTCATAGCAATGTACTCTTCATGAAAATAAAAAAAAAGGCTAAAGGATCTAGGTCTGTGCTACTAAAGGAACAGATAGGGTATTATGAATAGTAATATTAACATTGACAAGTGCTTAAAACAGGTTTTGGCTATATACTCCATTCATAATTTCTGACAGGGAGGTAGTTTTACACTGAAAGATTAGAAGTGATCCTAACTGAATTACAGTGCAATTAGCTAGTGAGTTGTAGAAACTCCCTCTTAGAGACTCGTAAAGAAAGCTAGGATGTCACTACTAATACCTGTTTTAGAACCGAAGTCAGATTCTGTGCTTGCTATTTTGCAGTCTTTCCCATAATGTTGTATAATCTTGGTCAAAACAAAACAAAAACATTGAAGAATCTGTACAGTAGAATATCAAATATGACATCACCTATTCCTTTTGAGTGGCTATTTAATACTTTTATACCTTCACTTTTGTAGAAAGTGCTGAAATGCAAAAGGCGCAACTCCATAGAGATTATTATTAGCAATACTAGCAATACAATACCTCTAACCCATACCATTCTGTTTATAAGCAGGTAACTTGAGACTCTCTAACTCTTTATTATAAAATCTATTGGGAACCATTTGTGGATAGCAGCCTGAGAAAAGTAGGAATATAATTACTCCTAGAGCGTACCTGGCACTCACTTCCCAAACTCATTAGGCTTATTTGAAATGGGATTATAATGAACTAGCCTCAATGACTTTTCATTAATTTATCAATCACTGATATATCTTTTCTGAGAAAACATATTGAAATAATAAAGGAAATGTCTGAGACATATTCTGTAGAGGGTATTATATGACCTCATTCTAACAACTCAGCAAATCTTGTTTTGGAGATGACTTTACTGATTTAGCCTCGGTAAATTAATACAAGAGCTACAGTATGGATTTAGGAAAGTGCCGAATGCATTCATAATCCATTTCAGAAAATTTAAATTCAGAATAAAAGTAAACTTCCTTATGTTTATATGTGCAAATCATGACAGGAGACCAGTCTCCATTACATCTTATTACAATTTAAAATCACACTACTGTAATGTCAGTGTTATGCAAACCATACTCCTCAGAGTCTGCGTTTCCCCATGCTGGATCTCAGCATTAATACACCTTCTACAGAATCTCCAGGACAATCAATCATTCTCTGCCAAAGAAGTCGCTCTTCTCCTTGAGAATCCATCCAGTCAACTTCTTTGCCATTGCTTATACCTGGAAAATTGCAAAGCACAGTGGTCAGCTGATTTTTTTTTTCAATCAGAAAAATCATTCCACCGTTCATTCTATTCAATATTTCATAAAAGTCCATTTCACAACATCTGCCAAGTTTCTGTTAGAGGTTCATAACACATGGTACTCCAGATTCACAAGAACTATAGCAACTCTTATCAAACTGTCATCTGTAGCTCTGATTTCCACCATTGGTACAGTGTAAACGTTTGTTTCATTTAAAATGAGCAATGTTTATATTTAGACTGGGATGTTGTGTTTAGCTCTAATCACAGCAACCACATATGAAAGATTTAATATCTTAATAATATCTACGTTACAAACTGGAAGCTGTTGCCCTTAAAAAAATAATTCCTAGGCTGAATTCTTACAAGCATAGTAGTATGGAGAATGAAATACTTTGAAAAATAAATCTAAAAACTCCCATTTGACTCTGGCCATCTTATTTTTGTATTAATTATAGGACAAGATCTTAGCTGTCCCTTTTATTGGGAATTCTAATCAGATTTACTTGCTTCTTTTATTAATTTTATTTTTACTATTTATTCTTTTTAGCTTTACCTTTTAGGAAAATATCAGAATGGGTTATCATAAATACTTTTAAACGAAAGAAAGACAACATTTTCTGGATCAGCCATCCATAAATTGGCAAACAGCCTGAGGGCAATGATAAAGACTAATTTACCTACCTGTTTTTCATATCATTTAAGAAACCATATTGATATATTTATTATTAGATTTCTATCCTGTCTTTCATTCAGAAGCTCGAGGCAGCATATATAGGAAGCTTTTACCCTATTTTCCTCCACAGCAGAGCTCGGCTGAGAGTAACTGAGTGGTCCAAAGTCAACCTCCACAACCAAGCAAGGGTCTAAAAGCTGAGTCTTCTCCCTCCCAATCCAGCACCTTATGCAAGGATGGGTGCGTTTACATTCCCAGAAGCTCTGCATTTCCATTTCCCACATTTTTACAATATCTTTTCTGGAAGATATGGCAAGTTTTCCCCATGAGCTGCCAGAAAAAGAGCTAAATGGGTCTCTCAAGGGCTGCTGCCCATATCTAAATACAAAGAGTATTCTAGATATTTCATTTGCTGGTCTCCCTTTCAATTCCCTTCTATCAAAGGGTAGATCTATCCACACCTACCACTTCCAATACTCAAGCGAACACCTCCCAGGAAAATATTGCTGGCGAGAGACTCCTTGTCCCAAACAGTAAGTTCTACACAGACATTGTGTATATCTCTAGGGTTCAAGCCACTAAAAGTGAATGTATGATTCCAATGGGGATTCACACTCTTTTTTATTACATGGGTTTTATGCTTTGAAGATTTGTTGTTGTCAGGAAGCAAATATCTAAGAGACAAAAGGAAGGGGGGGGGGAAATAAGAAAAAGAATATGGAGGTTTGTTACGAATATATAATTATAATTGAGAAGATGCTGATTGAACTATCTTAACCCAACCCATTTTTAAAATGTGGCCATTGGCACATCACTCAACAGCTATGTGTGATCCATAGCCCTTCCCTCAAAGGAAAAAAAAAACTATAAAAACATTTGTCATAAGAGTTGGCCACTGCAACATTCATTGAGCCCTTTTTTCTAGAAGGAAAGATTATTTGGAATATTTTTACTTTCTTAAAATGAAACTCTGACATGGAGCGATACTGAGATTTGCAAATAATACATGGTCATATAAGCTTATTTTGAGATTGTGATATTAGCATGTAGTAGGAGATGAATTATGAATTAGATCTGGATAGCAAATGCAAGATTACATCAGCTAACTGAGATTAAGAGATACAATACAATCCTGATATATGAACCTGTTGCCTACTATTATTTTTCCGTTTAAAATATTCAAAATAAGGTGGAAGGAAGTAAAGATTCAAAAATTCTAAATCTTGCCACTTGATGTGTATGGGACATTTTTGAGGAAATGAATAGATGATCATATAAGTGATCACCAGGGCAACTGGGATCAAGAATTTCATCGCTAAGCAATGTGATCGTGAAGGGTGACATCACACATTACTGGCTCACTTAGCAACCGCAATTCTTGCAATCTCACTTGCTGTCACTGAACAGCAATCTTGTTAAGCAAGGCGCTCATATGATTCCCTGCCAGCTTTCCCATTATCTTGGCTGGTGGGAACATCAGAAATCAGTCACGTGTCTTCAAAGATGCTGTGACAGCCAGAACTCTTGAGGACCTACTATAAATCCCTCCTTATTTAGTATCATAATTTTGAACAGTCACTGAACCAATGGTCATAATGCAAGGACTACCTGTATTCAATACAGAAATACTAAACGTCTACTAGCATACATAACCAGAGACAGAATAGGGGAAATCACCCTTTCACAAACGTATCTGAAGTGCCTCCTGATTTCACCGCCATTAAATTCTTGGCTTCCTTGATGACAATTTCCAATATGCCTCCTGATGGTATTTGGGAGGTTGCCTTTTTTTCTTTCTTTGAACTCTTCTTTCCTTTAGAATAAGGAAACAAGAATGGAGGAATATATGAAGCTTTCATATTTTGCATTGTAGCCTATCCTAAGGTTAATAATGAATATACATCAAACCATGCCTCTTAACCAAGCCACAAATGTCTCTGTCCTATAGAAGAGTATCTTGAATGGATTTATGCTCCAGATGCAACTTCAACATATATTTATGGCCCAAGACCAATCACAATAAAAAACATCATATAATCTAATAACTATAAAAGGAAATTTTAAAATTGCAAATAAATCATAAAACAATTAGCAACAGTTAATAGCATGAAGGAGGAATAGCATGAAACCGTTTCTAACAGCTATGGCTATTGATGAAATTTTCAACCTTCGTAGAGGTTTTTGAAAAATGGTTACCTAGGAGAAGGATAATAGCCTCCTGATCACAATGGCAATTAGAGTTATTAATAGTTGAACCTATTAAACTTGAGACATACTGTAAGTGATGAGGAAAACGATGCTTTTCTGTTTTTACAACATTATGTTCATCATATTTTAACTCTGGATGGGTGTCATAAAAAATAATAAAAAGCAAAAAAGGTCCACAATAAATCTTAGCTCATAGAGTAATTATTTAAAAATTGATCAGCACACCCCAAACTCTCTAACTTATCCAAACTTCATTTTTTCTCTTTCCATTCAACCATGTCTGATTCTCAGGAACTGCCTGGACAGTTTTCTTGGCAAGGTTTTTCAGAAGTCATTTATATTGATTGATTGATTTATATTGGGCAATCTCTAAATTTATATATATTTATAAATTTATACATATAAATTTAGAGATTGCCCAATTCACTCACAGAGCGACTCTGGGCGGAGTACAACTAAAAATATGAAAATCTATGTTTATGGTTTGCCACTGCCCCCTTCCTAGGATTGAGAGAAAGTGACCCAGTGAGCTTTGAGCCTGAAGCAGAACTCATGATATCCCAGTTTCTAGCGTAATGCTTTAACCACTACACCAAACTGCCTCTCAAACACCAATTACTCATCATTAAAAATAGTTTTCTGGTGGACAGGAGTCCTGAAAAGTAGATTGCCTTTGAATTTCAGATACCTTCTCCCTGTTTCTCTAGCCTCTGCTGAATTTGGGTGGGCACAGCTGACCGATTATCAGTTGTTCTCAGGATTCAGACAATCACACCAACCTTGGTCACCCCAAGATATACAGACACAAGGGAATTTTGAGTAGAAATAATTTGCAGCTTTTGCAGCATTTTTCATACAATGAAAATGTCAAGTCTTGTTACTCAACAAGATGACATTATAAGAAAATGCTGTTGAATAGGGAGCTAATGAATTTACAGCTAACAAAACCTGCCCTTGCTTCCAAAAGATATAGTGTTGGGGATGAATAATATAGGAAGATGAAATGATTTGTGGTTTCAAATTCTTTTAGAAAGTAGTAAACCAACTGAACAGCAACAATTTCAATGTTTTGTAGTGCTGGGTTTTTGTTCCTAATGTCTGCAGAAGACCATGAATTAAAACAATTCAAGGAAAACATTTCTGGATGCATCAAAGGTTTTTTTTTTTTCTTTTACCTTGAATCTCTCCTAGGGGAAGCGTTAGGTTCCTCTCAGGTGGAGTGTACCGTAAAGCAACAATTAATTCTCCTTTGTACTGCAGCCCAATATCAGTGGCAATTTCCATCTAAAATAAGAAAGTAAAATAGAAGAAAGTCTTGTTTAATAAATATTCGCCTTCACTTTTAGAGCATGTTGCGCATTATTTTGAGGTATACATAAAGAGTATACAGATGAAGATGAGCTTCAAATGACCAAACTTCTACTTCCTACACTCTATAACAGTGGTGGCGAACCTATGGCACGGGTGCCAGAGGCGGCATGCAGAGCCCTCTCTGTGGGCACGTGCGCTGTCCCCCTAGTCTTAGGCCTTCAACTGGGTTTTATAAAACCTTTTTGCTTTAGGCCTCCGCTGCCGTGTACAAAACAAAAAAAGGTTCAATCAATCAGTCAATTTCAACTTCTCGCAGGGAAAAAAAAAGATCTTGCAAAGTTGGAATTGATTGATTGAACTTTTTAGTCCCACCTAGTATGCCATTACCACCGCAGCCACGCTCACCCAATGGGCCAAACCCAGCCAATGGGCCACACCCACCCGGCACCCAACGATGCATAAGTGGGTTTTGGGTTGCAGTTTGGGCACTCGGTCTCTAAAAGATTCGCCATCACTGCTCTATAAGCTTCCAGCAAGGAAGTAGGAAGAAGTTTTCTTTAAAATGTCCAGTTCCTAGGTGTTTTTCTCTCTCTCTTAAGACAGCTTGAACCACTGCAAAGCTTCTTCCAAACTGCCCAACACATGCCCTCTGTTTGCCTACTAGATAGAGGACAAAAGCGACCAACTTTTCCTCTGCAATGTGGAGGGTGCTGGTGAGACAGGCTTTCTTTGTTGGTGGCCATAGGAATGCAAATTTAAGTTTAATAAAGAGCTTGGATCATTGACAAGTAAAAGTGGAGCTTTCCTGCAAATCCACTGCTAGTTCTTTAATAGGGACAGAAATGGGAACTAAGGGGTCTTGTGACATTCAGCATTGTTCTAATATTTATGTAATTGACAGTAAACCTTGTTGCTACACTTCCCACTTAACTCTAAGCTTTATGCAGACTTCAATAATATCACGATGGCTTTGCTATTCCTGTTTTTCTATCAAATTTATCACATTAACATATTTTCAAATTTCAACAAAACAAGATAAATCAGAAATAACTCAAGTGTTAGGGTGGGGAGGAAAACAAGAAAAGGAACAAAGGTGAATACATATTAGAACAATTAAATATACAATGGTATCAAGTTTTAAAAAAATGAAACTACGACCACATGGAGACACATATGTTTGGAGAAGGCCAGATATTTCAAGAAAGAGACATAACTCACTATGATATTTATCTGACTTGAGTGGCCAAAATTCTTCATGAATCCAGGTGCTAAAAAAGTGTTAGGATTATTACTTTGACAATATCAGGAGAGTGATAAATGAATTAGAGGGCTTCCCCTAAATAGTTATACTTGTCTTTACGTGTAGATGCCTTTTCCCAACAGTAACAAACAAAAATATGTGATATGGGAATAATCCATTCCTTTTTGGACTACAGAAGCACAGAAGGTAAAAAGAACAGATTTCACATATTAGATTGCAAATGAAATGATAAAACTTGCAGTTTGTTGGACAGGAACAAACTGATCTGTCCAAGCTACAGGAAAACACACTGGCATCTAGAGTTTGAGAGCCACTTGTGATACAGCCTTTGTGGGACATACAATACTTCCTCTGTAGTTTTATTGTTGTGATGGCTTTAATTTCAAAACTCAAAGAACACTATACAGTGGAATAGACCCATCTTTCAGCTAAGTTGCCTTCAACTAGTGGATAATTTGATTGCAATATAAATTTGCATGCCACTTCTCTAAACCAACAGGACCTTCTCACCTTCGGCTGAAGCATGAACCATTCATCAGCTTGATTTTCAAAGTTCCATGAGTCCAAGGGAATCTCTACTTCTCCCAGAAAGCTGTTACGCCCAAATCTGTCATAATGCCAGACAGAAAGTTGCAGAGTGCGAGTCTCAAGCTGCGTGTGGCTAATGACATACTATTGAGTGATAGAAAAGGAGCATATTTTTAAGGGAAATATTTTTAGGACCCAGTAAGTGAGAGTATAGAACTTCTAAGTATATCCAAAGGTATTAACAGATAATAAATGATGCAATATTTTCCCTTCCTACTAGTGCAATTCAAATTATGAAGGGAAATACATAAAATGTAATTATTCTCCTGAAAACCTGTGTTTACACCTGTCTTAAACTACAGTCCTTCCATCTCCTCCTGTATGCATGTTGATTCTGAAACATTATTCATAATTAAAATAGAAAGAAAATGAACTGGTGATATTAAATTCTCCAAAACTGATAAAAGTATTGTTATTAAGAAAGTTGTTCTTTAAATTCCACAACTGTTTTACATTTTTTATCATGTAATTGAAAAGCCTTTTAATTTTTTTTTTTGTTTTTTGTGGGGGGTTTTTTCCTTAGTGATTTTTGACTGTTAGTTTTCCAGCCTTTGGGAATGGGAGGCATACAAATAAGATAAGCAAATAAATAAATAGATGAGGAGTCCTTGGTGCTCTCTGAGTTCAGAGTGCACCAAGAACTCTTCATTTCAACCCTGAGCTACAAATATTCTCCTTTAAATAAATAAATGGGAAGCAGATGCCCAGGAAGTACAAGGAAGTGTCAACTTAATGTCAACATTGGGCAAAGTCCTCAAACAAATTATAAAGAACATGTCTGTGAGCACTTGAATAAGCATACTGCAATTAACAAGAGCAAACATGGTTTTGTTGCAAACAAATTGTGCCAATGAACCATATTTCCTTCTTTAACAATAGAACTACAGCTCAGTAGATTTGGAATGTTCTCAGATTCTCAGCAAAGCTTTTGACAGAGTTCCTCATGACGCATATTTTTCTTAATAGACTCATGATATATATATATTTCTTAATAAAGAAATCACCCAGTTATTTTGGAATTGGATGACACCAAAATTTAAAAATAATTAATTAATTAAAATGTGGGGTAGAAGATGCAACTGTTAAATGGCCTCAGTTGCCTGAACAATCTCATTTCATCTTGGACAGAAGAATCGAGTGGAATATCAGTGATTATTTTTGATCCTATGCAATTGAAAACATTTATCAATGGCTGAGATGATGGAACTGGCTGACACAAGGTTTTGTGGATGACACAAATATGGGAGGGTGACTTTAGATGAAACAGAAAAGTCAAAAATATCTAGACAAAGTGGACTGAAATCCCTGAGCAAATCACTTACAAGCACAACCCAAAAACTAGTTGGACATGTCCAGAGAGTCACCAGAAGCACAGCTCAACTCAAGGACATCTTTACCATGCAGGTACTGTGCAGCATATAAATAATTTAAACCAACAAACCACTCAACCAAGAATTTCTCATTTTGACCATAGAGGAAATATTAATGTATATGGTGTTGTCCCAGTTCCTATCTTACCTTAAGCATTTCATTGAATTCAGGATCAGTGCTATTACTTTTGATTTTTGTCTTCCTTTTGCTCTGGCGAGACTTGTCTGGCAGAAGATACGCTTTGACATAACTACAGATTAAATTAATAAACTATCAATTTTGCTAAAAGTTACAATATTAATATACAAACATGTAGATGTCCATATAAAGAAAATTCTTACGTATAACAATGCCAAAACTAAACCAGAGACGTCAGAATGGTTATACTTTAGCTTTATTTGCTCTCTCATGTATTGTGGTACATCAGATGTCTTTGTTTTATATAGCAAGAGATATACTGGAAATATATACAGTTTAAATAGACATATATTTGTGGGGAAATATATACATATATATATTTACATAGAGGAACAAAGAATCATATGATGGCTCCTCCTACATGCATTCTGAATACCACAACCAAGTCCGAGTGAGACTTATACTTCCTGCTCCTGATTTCCTGCCATGCAAATCAAAAAACAGATGTCATCTTCCCCAAAAGGTTATTTGTTACCTAGTTCCATATGCTATCACCAGAAATATGCAGTCAGAAATCTACTGAAACACAGAATTCCATATAAACAATGTGAAGTACAGGCAGGAGAATTATTACTCTTCAAAGTTTTGATTCACCACAAAATAAGGAACATTAGAGAAGCCCTGTCAGGTCCAGCCTATTCTTTGTCTCACAATAACCAGCTGCATGTAGCTGGGAAGTTCACAATCTCAGATTGGAGAGTGATGATCTTTTCCATTATTACTTCTCAGGGCCCATGAGAAAGATCGGGCATGCAGTTCATTTTTCAGTATGCAATAAATTACAATTGCTATGTGTAGCTTGCATGAGCCTGTTGGCTGGAACATTAGGGCTTGTGAAAGTTCCTGCCTTACTACTCAGCCTTTTATTCCTTATCCTGATTCCTTCCTACCATTTGTCCTCAGGCAGGTACAAGAGGCTTCAGTGTACCTAGGATTACTTTCAATTGTAGAAAATAAGGAAAGAAGGGAACAAGAAGAAAACAAAAGACTCCTCGTTCTCCAATTTTAGTGCACTGAAAGAAATCTCTTCTCAAAGAGCCTTCTATTTGCCACAGAATGTGGAAGAAAAGCTATAATTCTCTCATTTCCCCCACCATTTACTTTTTAGGCAGGAGAAGACAGAAAAATTCAGCTTCTTCCTTAAACTGATTATTTTTTACAGTTATAATTTTAGAGAAAAACTAAGGAACAATTGTTCCACTCTGGTTTCTGTTTACTAAGTTACTGAATTCACACTACACTTGCCAGAACAACATTGCAGAGAATTATGGTCAGTTGACAATCAGAATTTAAATTTGTATTTTCTAATTGGAAAGTCTTTAGGATAAGAAAAGAGAAGTAAGAATACCAGCACAAGCCATTTAGCAGTAAACATGGGTTTTTCATTTCACCAAAATTAAGTCTTTTCTCATAGGCAGTGTAGCACTGAAGTTATCAAACTGGAAAAATATTCATACCAGTTCACCATTTCCAGATTTATTTATTTTATTATTAAACTTCTATGCTGCCCGTTTCCCTGAGCTGATTCTAGATTTCACCAACTGAAGCAACTATATTTCTCAACCTTTGCAAGGACTAAAACTGATATGGCTCTTATTTCATTTAAAGTAAAGCTTCAATAAGAAGATAGGAGAAACTCATGCTGCCTTTCACATTTTGCAAACTCTAGCACAACGATACGTATATGATATTCTACTGTCTTAAACAGTAGATCTGTGGAAGGCAAATCTAACAAGCAAACATAACAAGGATAGTAAATAAATAGAAGTTTAGTTTAAAAAAGAGATTTGCTTACGGATCTGTTCTTTGTTTCTTTTCATCAGCAATGGCCAAGTTCTTGCATTTTTTTACAAGTATGTTAAGGGCTCCTGTTTTATAGCTATAGTTGATTTGCAGACAAATTTCACCACTAATATTCACGTTGCCATAGTCCCCAGTTTCACTGTAAACACTCATCATACTGTTAATGCTGGTCTGAAAAAGAGACAGTGACAGGAAGCCTATATCAAACTGAGTTATATTCATATACTATTGTTAAACTAATCAGTCATTTCTATTAGGGAAACATCTCACTAAAGAGAAATAGAATTAGCCATTTTTATACTGCAAACGATTCAACCAATATGATATCAGGGTTGGTTGATGGCAAAATTCAATCTCAATATCCCATTGAAGAAACATACCCATTTTATTTTATTTGTTCAAACAAGTCAAAGTGTCTTATTCATTCTCACATACATGCACACCTGTAAAATTAAGATCAGAGATTATCCTAAACTCATCCAGTAAACCCATGGATGGAGACCTAAGTGCCCAATTTAGTATTTTAATTCCAAAATAACTTACTTATATTTTTAATTAAATCACTTCCCTAACTGATAATATGTTGTAGTATATCTTACCGTCAGCAAAACATTTGAACAAATATAGGTAATCCTCGACCTAACTGTTTAGCAACTGCTATGACAGTGCTAAAAAAAGTGACTTATGACTGGTCCTCACACTTACAACATTGCAGTGTCCCCACAGTCATGTGATCAACATTCAGGCACTTGGAAATCTTATTGTATTTACAACAGTTGGCAGCATTCTGACGTCATGTGATCACCTTTTGCAACTTTCCCAGCTAGCTTCTGACAAGCAAAGTCAATGTGGGATTACACATTTGCTGAAGCAGCTGTGGCAAAAAAAAGGTTGCAAAATCAGATGCAATTCATTTAACAACCAACTTGCTTGGTGATGGTAGTCCTGGTCCCAGTGGTGGTCATAAGATGAGGACTACCAAGACATGCCAATTAGCACATTCTGATCTGGATGGCACTCACGAGAAGGAAATATATAGCTGGCCTGAAAATCAGTAATGACCCCTCATCGGATCAGATGAAGATATCAAGCGGTATCAGTCCTGAGTCCTCTACGTTTCAATATTTTCACTAATTATTTAGATTAAGAGGTGTGGGGAATATTTATCATATTTGGAAATGATACAAAAATGGGTGAAATAACTAACAGCCAAGAAGAGAAAAGTTATATTAAAAATAACCCTGATAGATTGGAGAAACGAGCTGAAGATAACAGAACAAAATGTAAAAGAGAACAATGTGATGGTTTTCATTTCAGACACATAAACCAAATGCAGGATTATAGGAAGGGAGATACCTAACTTATTGATAATCGTTGCAATACAAGTTTTTTGATCGCTAGTTGATTACAAATGATAGCTATATAATAGAGTGGCAAAGCAGGCAAGTGTAATGCTATGTGTTTGCATCCACAGAAATATCATTTGCAAGTCCACAGGAAATGATTGTTGCCCTCTACTTCAACAATCTTAGTCTGAATATTACACTTTAACAAGGATTTAGATAAGCTGCAGCTGACCAATAAAAGGCAATGAAGATTATCATGGAATGAAAAACAAAACCTCATAAAGAGAAATTGAAACACTTGTTTTGTTTAGCTTTGACAAAAGATGGTTAAAGGAGGATATACAACATCCTTCAAATACCTGAAAGGATGCCACACACCACAAGAGTCCTGCCATTCCAGGATGTAGGATACAGAATAATGGACTTAATTAATAGGAACACAGATTTTGGTTGCATAATACCGTAGGAGACAGAGAAAGCTTCCAGTCTGATATTCTCTAGAGAGTTGGTTGGTTCTCCTTCACTGAATGTTTACACGTAAAGACTAGACAGCCATCATTCCTTGATGCTTTCATTCAATGAACAGGAGGTTGGACCTGGAAGCCTAAATGGTCTGTTACAATCTATGATTCTATGTTATCCTCCATTCAAATAATCTGAATGAATAGAAAAATTATTTCTCCGTATATGTTTCTATTACAAAACAGAATTCTAACTTTTAAGAATATGACACTGTTATTGTCAGCTAGTGACTTAATGGAGCAATTATTATCAATTTAAAGAATTTGTTTTTGCTATTTATATATGTAGAAATGAAACAGGAACAGAGATGAGCTCTTGCATGCGTCAGAAAATTGAGAGAACTTACAGTATCACCATCTGCTTCTGGAACATTTAAGTAGTTCCATTTCCTTTCAGAATTTGAAGGAGAATTCTTTATGAAGTAGGCAAAAGGCAAAGGAAAGAAGAGCATTATGTAGCACTAATAGGGATATAGAAATTCAAGGAACAGTTTGAGAAAGTAAAAATGGATAAAGAAAAGACATAAACTGCTGTATGGAGAAAAGTGACTAGTAAATAACCCCCATTTATAGAGACAGATATACAAGAAATTATGTTATCTCTCCAACAATGAATTTAACCTTAGGCTGAGCACTCATTTTCCTTTTGCAGTATTATAGAAATATTTGGATAAAAACATTTTGTTATCAAAGGCTGATGTCTATCTACCCACATACCAACAATCTGTAGCTAATGTATTTTAGTCAACCATTTAAAATTGCTTAGAATGCAAGATACTTAAATGCTGTAATTACTATAGCAATTATACTACTTGCTAGTTGCCAACAAATAATTTACTTGCCAAGCATCAAATGAAATTATCCACAATTTGGTGTAGTGTTTAGGGTACTTAACTGGAAGGTGGGAAAATGAATTTTAGTCCTGCTTCTGGAATTTAGTCCTTCCAGAAGCATGAAAACTAGCTATGTGACTTTGGACTGGACGTTCTTTTTCAGTCTAACCGACCTGCCAAGTGGTTGTTATGAGGAAAAGAGGAAGCAGGAGAACTATATACACTGCCTTGGCTTTTACAAAATAAAGGAGGGATTTTATCTAATAATGACAACAACTATAATAGTGCTATCTTAAATGTTAAGCTGTTATTTGCTTAATATGTGTAATGTACAATCTTCTTTCTAGCACAAAAGGAAAATAATTATTGGATCCAGATGTCATCAGCCTGATGAACTTGGCCCTATCCTATGCCCTCCTGACATGTTGGACTAATTCTTATAAACTTCAATAACACAGCTGAAACTTCTTGTAATCCCCAGTTATAAATAAGCAAAAAGTAGTTACTATATACCAGGGGTAGGCAACCTTGGCTCTTTTATGACTCAGGGACTTCAACTCCCAGAATTCCTGAGCCAGCTTGGCTGGCTCAGGAATTCTGGAAGTTGAAGTCCATGAGTCATAAAAGAGCCAAGGTTGCCTACCCCTGCTATATACCATAACTATTGGCTATATCCATCAAACTAAGTGCTTTTGTTGAACAAAAATTAAAGTCTCTAAAATCCAAATAATGGCAATGGCATTTAATCTACTAAAACAGGAGAACTGAAGCTAAAAATCAGCCATGGAATGAAATACAACAGAATAAAATATATTAGAAAGGAACATGGTCTATGTATCAAAAATCTAATATACTGTAGGAAGAAATTGTAAAAGGAAGGCATGCGTATGCATTTAATAGGAACTTACTATGGAAAATCCACTTGCCAAATTACTTTGCCTTTTTGAAGAGCCAGAGGCTATAATGTCATCCATATCCTCTTCTGCTTCATTCAGGTAGTCCTAATGGGAAACAAAAGCACACACCCACCATTAAGGAATCAAATGTATTAGGAAGGGGGTGAGTGAAGGACTAAATGGGGAAAAAGTTATCTTCTGTTGCTTTTTAAATAAAACCATTTACCTTAACTTCAGTATCTTGCCCTGTTTCACTTTTTCTCTTTAAGAACATTTTAGTGTTTGAGATATTGCCAGTTATTGTGAACATCTAGCCCGTCATACTTAACAATAACAGCTGAAACTCTCCCTTACAAATTATACCGAAAAAGGTTTCCTTACACACAGTTATTTAAACTGTGTCCCCTAGTGTGGCTGATCCTTTTAACAGCCAAGCTGAAGCTCTGCTGAGACTGCAAAGATGGAAAACTGAAGGGAAATGCTCTCCTCTGCCTGCCAAGACTGAAAGCCCCGTGCAATTGCTCTTGTGGTTGTTAGACATGGAGCAGCTGCCAGTGACGTTGGAGTTCCACTCTGTATTAAAATGTTGTGTTCTGCTAGGCAGCTGCCAACTGCCACCCTTCACTTCAAAAGACAAAGCAAGTGCTGACAGTGGTTCCTCTGGCTGGGCCAAATCCTGAAGCTGTGCTTCAAGGGGAAAAACAAATCGATTACATTCACATTTTTGCCTGATTGTTTCACGTGTTCACTTTATGGTACTATGATAGAAGGAGGACAAAAAGGTGGTGACAGAGGTGGTGGTAATAACTAAGTGGAGTAGAAACTGAGTATGAAGCTGATCCTTGTTCAGAAACATCTTCTCTTTCGAGAGACAAATGAGAACAAGTCTCAAAGGCACATTTAGCTAAGGATCTGTAAATTGTTCGGGCTGTGTCCATAGAGGGAGAAGCAAGAGATCAGGAACAGAATCCATGTGCAGATATCAGATAGATAAAGTTTGCAAAGTATATGTATTGCTGCCATTGCTCACTAAATGAAGGCAACTCATTAACTATTCGCATATATTTGTACTTTTGATATAAACTGTGACATACATATGAATTACTGGAATCAGTCAAATCAAAATAAAATAAAAAAGTCAAAATATTCTAATCTGTAAACTTTGTATCTTTCCAGCTCACCACATCATGGTCCAGTGCTCCAGGTACAGATTTACTTCTTAAGCTTAAAGTATCTTCATTTCCTTCTGAAAAGGATCCGCTGAGATCTCTCTCTGATCTACTACGATCTGCAAAATATAAGGAAAAGCCATATATAGTGTATTAGCAATCTATACAGAAGATATTGTATCTTTTAACTTTTTTGTATGATGGATTATGTATCTATTTTTCCACAACTTCTTGTTTTTACCCATCAATTTCCTCTTTGCTAAATCCTACAGAAAAGATAAAATTCAAGAACGAAAAAGATAGATCACAGGAAGAAATCCAGTGGTGTTTTCGTTTTTTTTCATTCTTTGGAAAATCAAACAAGTAGAGGGAAAATGTATGTCATGCAAATTGAGTCTCTAACACTCCTGCAATCTATTTTTAGTAAGTGAAACAGTTATTAAGTCTATCTTTCATCCAATTGCTATGCATATAAAAGTGTTGAATAAAATTTAGAGAAGAAATGATCAGCAAAGGCTAAAGTTTACAGATGTTTATAAAAAAACCCATCTCATCTTTGTTTTAAGAATAATTATGATAGACACATAGCGATTTCATTAAAGGGAAAGAACCACAGTTCTACAATAAAGTGTGCATTTTAAAGCAGAACGTTCCATTCAGCCCTATTTATCTTCAGTTGAAAAAGAATCAGACAGCAGGTGACCTATGCCTGGAGAGCCACTGGGAATCAAATAAACAATATTGCACCAGGATCCAGATCAGAATTACGAAAAGTGCAGACCATCGTTATCTTTTGATGGTCTCTGCAATCACAACAGAGTTGGTAAGCCAAAAATACGGTCGGTCGGTCAGTCGGTCGGTCTTTGTCTTTATTGCAGTACACTTTGCAGGAATATTATAGGACATCCATTTCACCCCTGAGACCACCTCACAAAATCTCATCTAACTCCCTCCCTTTCCTCTTCCAAACTGCATTTGTCAATATAACCCTGAATTGATAAAAGCTCTGCATCTCTGATCTAGAATGACAAAAGTTGTCTGACCTAGTATAAGGCTAATTCTTAGCAATTCTAAAAAAAAAATCCCCAAGAGAAAAAAAAACATGGGAGAAAAAACAAGCTAAACAATGAAAAGGGGTAGTGATAGCAATTCACAAGTACATTAAAGTATCAGTAAGTGAAAGCTCACCAGATGATAAAGATGTCCTAGAAATTGCCACAGAAGGTGTTCTAGATCCTTTCCTACGATGCCTTTTTGACAAATCTGCAGGGATACTTTCACTGATAGACATAACAATGTTGTTTTCTAATTCAGAATCCTGTTCACACAAAACAACATATATTTAATGAATCACACATATAAGAAAACTTTTTAACATATGAAAATACACTAGTTGTATTGGAAGCAAATCCCCACAAGTTCAATCCAATAATTCTAACTTTTCATTGTTTGTTCAAAAATGGTTGTTACTCAGAATTTGCTTTAACTATGATTTGTTAAACATGTAAGAAATAAGCCAGAATCGTCTTAGAATGCACACAAATAAATTAAGACTATCAAGTCAATCTCAATTTGCTTTCTCCACCATCTCTCTGTCCAATACTCAAAAGACTGGAGCAAAACAAGTAAATCCAGATTCTAGATTTGTCACTATGAAACAATTATTTCTCAAACCAATCTCTTTTTGCACCAATCAACTTACCCGGCCATAGTCAATAGTCATGCTGCGGGCACTCAGTGCTGGTGACCTTGGATAGTGTGGAGTGGAAACATTGCTTTGGCTTTCGGCCTTTTTCATGTTGTCTGTTATGTCTCCAAGAACATGAATATCTGAGGAATAAGAGTTCTCCCTAGAGAAATTGCACTAAATTAGCCTTCTAATTTAGGTTGATACAGATAAACAAAAAAGGAGAAATTACCTATCAGAAATGATGTTCTGTCAATAGTTCTAAAGTAGTTAGACAAATACTTTAGAGGCATGAGGACATTTTAACCTTGCATCAGCTGGATAGCAATCTTAATGCCATTTAATACCATTTTACATATATCTATCTAAAATCAAAGAGAACAAGCTGATTAAAATTCTCAATCTAGCATCTTATATATGTTTCAAAGTGTAATAACCAGGGTTAAGCAAAGAATAAAAAATAAATAAAATAGAACATGTTTCTAAAGCCACATATTTGTCATTTGCAGAAAATCTTGGGAGTTCTAGGTGACTTTAGGAGTGCCTTAGCATGGTAGCAACAAGAGATTGGGAAAGTTGTAAACCCCATTCTATTTTTCACTTTTTAAACACAGCTGTTCACTGTGTTCTAAGTGGTCATTTTGTCCAGGAATCTTCTAGGATCAATTGAATACCTACCTTCTAGTTTAGTAAGAAGTTAATGTCTTCAAAAGTTATAAAATACAAATCAGTTTAATTGCTCCTGAGAGAAGACTGGATATATGTTTACAAAAAGCTTAATTAAAGAAGATGTTTCATAATATTTATTGCTTTCTTCATTCAGGAAGGTTCTTTATTGATTTCTTTTCACCCCAACATTTTACATTCATTTTCACAATTATCTGGCAAGTGATGTAAATGGATCTAAACCAGTGATGGCGAACCTTTTAGAGACCGAGTGCCCAAACTGCAACCCAAAACCCACACCGGGTTGGTGTGGCCTATTAGGTGGGTGTGGCCCATTGGGTGGGCATGGCTGCGGTGGTAACAGGAGACTGGGTGGAACTAAAAAGTTCAATCAATCAATTCCAACTTTGCAAGATCTTTTTCTTTCCCGCGAGAAGTTGAAATTGACTGATTGAACCTCTTTTTTTTTTTTGCACACGGTGGTGGAAGCCTAAAGTGAAAAGGTTTTATAAAACTCAGCTGAAGCCCTAGGACTGGGGCAATGGCGCGCGTGCCCACAGAAAGGGTTCTAAGTGCCGCCTCTGGCACCCGTGCCATAGGTTCGCCATCACTGATCTAAACTATGGCAATATATTTACATTTTACATTTCCCCAATATAAGCATATCACATTTGTTATAGCTGATTAACAGACCTTCATGGGACGTGCCCCATTATGTAGTATTTTAGCATGTGGGCCACAGGACATGGCATAATTGTTCTGACGCTGCTTGTGGAATTGTCCACAACAGTCACATTCCAAAGATATCTGAAATCTTAGTCACATGCTATTTAGCTGCTCCAAATGCCTCCATCTGTTTGTCTTTTCCCCAAGAGGACTAATGTCCTGATGTACCAGTTTAGTAAAACAAATGATTCAGAACTTGACCTGCCTTACAATTCCTGCCCAGTTTAGATTCTTGTGACATTTCACAGAACTTTGTCTACTGTTCTTTTACTCAATAATTAACACAGACCTACACTTGGATTTCTTAAGCTGATATTTACAAAATGTCGTTCTCATTGCACAAGAAACTAATGTAACAGAAAGAGAATGATATCTTTGCTTTATGTTTGTTTGTTTATTCATTAAATTTATTTGTCACCCAACTCAACCACAAGGTGACTCTGCTTGCAGCTTTCAATGTTAAAAAGAATAAAACAATGCAACCAAATGTATACAATAAGAGTAAAACACTATAAAATGTAAATGTTCTTTCATCTTAACTGGTATTTTTAACTAAAATGTCATTTTATTTTATTTTACAAATAATTTTGGGTTTGCACATTTGTTTGGCCACCCTGTTCTTTCATATTCTGATTAGCTATTATGAAAAAACAAAATAGTGTTGTGATTCTTTGCAACAATAAAAAACCATAAGAGAAATAGCTAAGGCAGCGATACAATCTGGCAACTCATATTTACCTTTCCCCAACCTGTTTTCTGTCTTGCCTTTTACAAGTATGTTAGATGTGTAGATAAAAGGAAATGTTTTATTTATTCATGAGTTGCCTCCCTTACTTCCCTGCCCTTCTGCTGCTGGACTATACTATGGACTATGATACATTACAGGTTACACTCAATGGCCACACTCTGCATGTGAAATGGAATTTTTCAGAAGGTCAGAGTTGCTTTGTTTTCGGTTTTTTTGTACTAATGCTTGAGGTACCACTGAAATGTACCTTGTAAAGAAGAGGAAATTTCTAGAATGGCCTTGGAATGCATGTAAGGATAAAGAATTAAATGACTGGAATTGTGCATATGTAGCTCACCAGAAATCTAGTTATATGAACAGAAAACTCTTCTAATTCTTTGCTTTGCATCCCAGATATTTAAACCAACCTGCAAAATTCCTGAGCAACAGCATTAAATTTGGAGATGGGATGAAGGTGGCAGCCTACAAAGTGAAAGAAAGAAGCCCCCCCCCCGCATGACTACAATTGTTCACTACTACACCCTCCTGAAATCTGGCCACCCTAAGTTTTGGTCATTAGGGCCAGATTCAAGGTGATTAACAGCCATGTATTTCTTATATTTTGCTTCTTTTCTTACACTAGAGAACATGAATGCAACAATGCATATGAGTAGCCTATAATTAATCTGGTACTTCCTATGGGCATGACAAAATCTGCATACTAATGGCATTTAACCATTAATGTGGCTAACTCACTCTGGGAGCTAGGCAAGGTGAAGTCTGTGTACCTCTCATTTTGCAAGTGCGAAAGATAAATGTGTGTGTGTACATTCAGAGAATTTGAAGAGTACTTTCTATAAAAAGGCTTCATTGAGGACTGCAACAATTGATCACCTTACTGGTTTCAAGATCTCAAATAAGCACTATAGTGTTAAAGAAATTACAAAACATAATGGAACATTTTGAGGCCTGACTGAATTTGAAAAATATATCACAAAAAATTTAAAACTATTGAATTTTGTATTGAAAAATGTATCAAACAGAATTCAAAACAAAATTCAACACAATTCAAAATTTGTTGAGGTTTGTAGATAAATTGCTGTTGAAATACAATTCAAAAACTGAAAAGTCAAAAACTGTATGTTAAATAGATGAAGAATTTAAACAGAACAATTGACTTTCAGTAATGGGAATATCAATGGAAGAAATCTAACATACAGTGAACTTTTCACTTGGGAAAACTGGTACAAGATTTTATTCATATACTATTCCAGTCCTGATTGCTAAGATAGATATTTCATTCTATAAAATTGTTAAAACAGCAATAATTAGATCTTTTTTTCATAGTTGGTAGAATTCTGCAAAGCAATATAAAACAATAAATCTAGTATAAAACCAATAATTGAGATTGAATTCTCTTAAATATTACCAAACCTTATATTCTCATAAAATATATTGTACTAGGCTTATATACAGTTACTTCTGTTTCTCTCTATGTTCCTCATTAGAAATTATATATAATCCCTTCTACAAAAAAATAGCAAATTAAATGTGGAAATCAAATATAACTTTATATTTGAAAAACAAATCTGATGCAGAATTTAATTCAGTATGGAAATTATTCTTGGATTATAATACTATATATAAACTTATAATTTGTACTTTTGAGTTCCTTATAATGTAAGGTTTCAACATTTAGCTTTTCTGTGACTTGCTAAATAAAGACACAATTTTTAGACTAGAGAGAAATTACAACGGAAAATTATCCTCATTTATAATTTGTACTATATTTGTTATTTTCATTAATTATTGTATATAATGTTGATTTGAACAATTAACTAAAGTCTTAAACTGACATAAGAGACTTTGTTACGTAGAATCAAATTAATGTTACTTTGAGATTTTTATTTTCTTTTATGATGATTGTACTGCAAACTTCTGCATACTTATTTTTGAATTTCCCTACTTTTAGATTATTGTATGTTTTTAATTTTTTAACAAAGGTTTACAATAACTGTATTAGTTCTAAATAGCAAATGAAACATTAATATTACTATTTTATCTTACCAATTGGCAATGTGGTCACTTTGGACATCAGAGTCTGTGCTAATGCTTTTACCATCTTCTGCTTTCATATTTACAACTTCTTTGGTGACTGCCTTAAGAACCTTTCTGTTGAATACAGATATAAACATAAACAACATGGTGGTAAAACAAAATGCAGTGCTACTATTTACATGTTACTTTGCTTGTTATGAAAGATATTCATCACTAATGATTTATACACTTTTGTAACCTTTCCCTGTCTGATGTCTTCCAAAAAGACTAGATTACAAATCCCACTAAATTTCTGGTCAGGACTAAATTGGAGATTATATCATATTATAATTCTGATAAACATTTTCTAGATAGTATATATGCTTTACTCAAACTCTAATAAAATACTGAGTGAAAGATCATAAGTGCACAAAATATCCCAAAGTCCATTTTCTTTACAGCCTATTAAAGTATCTATAACTCTGCTCTCATAGTTAATTTTCTTGCTACCTATGATTTCAAGATTTTATTGCAGCTATATCAGTTATGAGTAAGACTATTGTTGCCCATATTTTTTCCAGTCAACTTCAAAATTGTATATCAGGCAATTGGAAGAAACTATTTGTAAAGTGAACAATTTATATGAGAAAGATGAGAAATATTAGATGAGAAAAAGTTAGTATTTAGGTTACTGAAATCCCTTTTTATAGTAGAATTTTATTTTCAATCATCTAAATAAAATGAAATGACTATAATTTTTATGGAAAAGTTTTAAATGCTTATAATTGAACTAAACTGAAGATTTGTAACAATTTTTTCATTCATAATAAAAAAACTTTACTTTCTATTTTGGAAATATAGGAATATTTTAGTACTTTATAAAAGGATACTTTACCCTATTTTCCTAGGCCCAGTGAGAACTAATTTTGTCCCACTTGTAAGTGAAGCTAACATATCTTGCTTTGATGTATCTTCTAAGGTTTTTGGAGAATGATATTTGGATCTGCCTTCTAAGAGTTCAGAGGAAGAATCTTAAAATGAAAGAAACACATTATCTTAACAAAATTCCTACAAAAATTTAAGCCAATTTCACAAATGATACATATTCACTAAATCAAGCTGGGATCACTGAAGCCAAAAGCACTCACAATTTGATATGTTTTTATTAGGTCTAGATATAGACCTAATATACCATGTTTCTCTTTTATGTATATTGTAATACTCTGGCCAACTAACATAAATGAAAAAATAGGGGGTGAGGGGCGGGAAATACTCCCCATAAAATCCTTTCACCATATGCCTATCAATAGAAAGCCAGAGAGAGGGAGAGGGTAGGTAGGACTATATGCAGTAATAGGATACATTTTCCATAAAATTAATCCCAAACCATTTAAGCTTTAAACATTATTCACAGATATGTTATGTTAGGTAAGGTGACCAACCGTCCTCCTTTAGGGAGGACAGTCCTCCTTTTGTAAGTTCTGTCCTCCCTCGCAAAGGGTCCTCCCACATGTCCTCCTTTTCGATATTTGAAGATTAATCTGCAGGGCTTTTTTTTTCCTCATAGAACGCTCAGAACGGCATTCCGGCACCTTTTTTTGATGGTTTTTTTTCAACTTTTGCATGAGCTGTGCTACTCCCCCTATTGGCTTTCGAAAGCCAATAGGAATTGCTGCTGAACGCAATTTTATTTACAATATTTTTTCTTCAATTTATTTGTGTCCTCCTTTTCATTGTAAAAAAATTGGTCACCTTATGTTAGGCTCAAAAGTTTATCAGAAATCAAAGAGAAGTCAAGCATGCTTCATGTAACACAGGAAGAGTAGAATCATTGATAACTATCTATTTCTTGGTACCAATAGCTCCATGTGATTATTCTAATGCAGCCTTACTCAATCTGATGCCTTCCAGATACATTAGAGCTACACCTCGCAGAATTCCCAGTCACTTCCAATTGGGAATTATGGCCCCAAAACATCTTGAAGACATCAGATTGGGTAAGGGTACTGCAATATATGTAAGAAACTATATTGAATGGATAACCTTATAAAGTGCACCGTCTTTGGTAAAATCTTCCCTGGGAAGATGACATTAGAGTGTCTTACCATGTAAGACAGAAAGTAAGCTTATTCTTTACTAGGCCTGACTATATAATTTGTTTTGACTGGCAACAGTTTTCCAAGATGTTGTGAAATGCCTTCCCAGGGTCTGCATTTGCATTGTTATATAGTACTTGGCTTGAAGGACTTATTTTTACCAATAAGATGATGGGATAAGAGACTAGCATTCGTTGTAATGTATTGTACTGAAAATATATTTGGAATGCTCTAGATTAACTATGTTGCAAAAATGCAAAGATTAATTAAGAAAGCAGCAATACTTTAATCAGTTTGGGACAACTGTGGTCCTCCAAAGTTGCTCAACTACCAGTAGTCTCCCAATATGCAACTGCCCACTGGCCATACAAGCTGGAGCTGTTGGGAGCCTGTAGTTCAGCAATGCTCCCATATGTCTATTTGGAAGTACATATTTTGCTTTTCTGTTTTTTACCTGGAGCTTTGCGAAGAATAGACTGCCGAACAATATCAGTTCCAAGGAGCTTGGACTGCTTGAAGCGTTTTGCTCTCTCTTCAAAGAACCATTCACCTGTTACTACCCTAAGTTGCCTGTATTAAAAAATGAAAACACTGAAGTCACTCTAACCATTAGTTGGTATTAACAGAATAACAGAATTGGAAGGGACCTTGGAAGTCTTCTAGTCCAACCTCCTCCTTGAGCAGGAGAACTTATACCATTTCAGACAAGGGACTGTCCAGTCTCTTCTTAAAGCCTCCGGTGATGGAGCACCCACAACTTCTGAAGCCAAGCCATTCCACTGATTAACTGTTCTCACAGTTAGAATAGCCACTTAGTCCTCTGCTTACCTCATCCATCCAAGATATTTGTGAGTATTGCTTTAGAAATTACTAAGACGAAAAACCCCTCCCCACGCCTATGTAAATACAAGAGAATGAACTGGAAACAATACACCAAACAATTGTGCCATTATTTACACTAAGCTACAATGTTTCATCAAGTCCACTTTAAGATGTCATTAATACATTATAATGCAAATATATGCAATTAAAACTTAGAGTAAACAAAGGATGTAGGAGAAGAGCAGACAGAGCTGGGGGGTAGAGTTAAACAGGCTATTATCTTAGAGTCCTTATGCTGCTACAAACGATCCAAGTCTAGCTCTCCTTGAATTCCTTTGACCCTTATGTAGTGCCAATTTAGTGCTGACTGTTAGTTGACTAAATTCTTGTATATTGGCTTCAATAAATCTTCTATGCTGCAACTTAAGGTATGGTCCTCTTCCTTTGCATCTGACAAAGAATGAAAGCTTAATACTTCAGTTCTTTGTTCTAAATATATCTCATCCAATGACTCCCCTCTGCTAGGCTTCCAAAAAAGTATATCTTAAGATTGAAAAGAGATAAAAACAAAAATAAACAAAAGTTTAGCTCTACAATTGTAACCCAACAGCATGATGCTCATACCAAACAAAATTTTGCTGGCATGTTTCAAATACAAGGGTAGTCACCAGCACGAAGAGCTTTAGAAGAATCTCTCAGATGTATATCAGTTCCTCATCTGTTGCCTGAATTATGAAGGCCCATGGCCATAGTACTAGTTCTAGGTTTTAGAGATTCTTGGGAAGATAACACTTTCCTCTCTCTTGCATCTATGTCCTTTGCTTATTTTTTCTACCCTAAGGAAGTGTACAGGACAAATGTCAGGTGCAAGGAATCAGAACAAGACTATGAGCTGATCAGAGTTGCTTCTTTATTGTTGCCTTCCTATTTATAACAATCTCACCAGACTGCCTGCATTCTCTTGGAAACAGCCAGATAAAGGCTTCAGGAATTCTCAGAGATCAGGTCTCTGTCACTTCCTTTCCTGCAAGAACTCCAAGCCCACCAGTCTTTTCCTTTCTTCCCCCACTCTAGTTGGAGATTTCAAGTTACACCAAGTTATTCCCTCATCTTCTCTCTTGAATCATAGCATGCATTTTCAGAAAAGCAAGGCAGCAGAATAAATAGCAAGGAGCAGTAGCAACAGAGCCAGGAGGCTGTGCCCACTGATGCCAAGGTTTGGGCTGAGCCCCACTAGGCAACAATTGCTTTCTATGGATTTTATTTATCAAAACAAATATCTTACTGTGAAAGGACCTTAGGGTCTCTCTTCTATTAGAGAGCTAAAAGAAATCAGAGGTTCATAATACCAAGATGTCAAGCAATAAAGTTTTGGGGTCATGAATATAAACAAACTAAGGTTTCAAATGGGTTATTTAAGGTAAATTGATATGAAGATGAAGTAGTTAATCAAATTTTTGATTGCAAGGAGTCCTGTCAGTCTGAACAAGTAGCCAAATAAAACCATTAAAATTAAACTGTTGCATTCAGGGTTCTTGTAAAGTTCATCACACACTGTTATTAAAAGATTCTTATGAAGCTGAAAATTAGTCTCCGAGTAGAAGGCGGCAATTTTTTCCTGTTGATTGCTGCAAGTCAGCTAATGAATGAGTGGCAATTTTTTCTTTTAAACCTTCCCTTCCTTCCTCCCATGAACCAGCTGTAAAAGAAGGGAGCTGTTTCCAGAGATCTGATCCCTTACAGTGGGTTTTTGGAATTAGACTAAGAACCACAAGTGACCCAAAGAAATAAAAAGCAGTGGGTTATGGTCAGAGCCATCATGTTGACTTTATCAGCCTCTGGTGGATGACTACCCTGAAATCATCAACTGGCCATTCTTGATTTAAGAAGGATCCCTTCAAGAAAACACCGGAGCAGGGAGATTAATATTTGTGACTATGATTACTGTAAAACAGACATGTCAAACACAAGGCCCGGGGGCCAGATGTGGTCCGCGAAGTGGTTTCATGTGGCCTGCGAAGCCATCCTGGAAACAGTGAGGGAACGGCCCCCACTGCCTTAGCCCTGGCCCAGGCTGGCCGGGAGCCAATGTACAATTTTATGGTGGCCATCTATGCTGAAATGCATTCAGACTTAGCTCCAAAGGCCATCTGGAAACAGCAAGGAACCAGCCCCTGCCGCATCGGCCCCACCCCCTGGATGCATGATGGGGAGGTGTCACCCTTTGTGAGGAATGAAGAAATACACCATCACCCAGAAGTGGCCAGAAAATGGCCCTTGCCTACTTCACATATCCAGCTTGATATGTGGGGAGGGGTTTCAGCAGGCAGCGGGGTGCTGTCCTCAAAGTGCCGAGAGGCTGAGCTGGGCAGTGCAAATCCAAAAAGAAACGCAAGACCGCCCAGGTTTCAGCAGGCAGCAAGGTGCGAAGCTGGTGACCTTTGCACCGCCTGGCTCAACCTCTCGGCACTGTGAGGAGAGCGCCCCACTGCCTACCGAAACCGGGCAGGCTGAGAGCTGGGCAGCATTGTGCAGGTAACGTTGACTTTCACGCTGCTCATGGCATCCCCTCCCCCCAGAGCCCACCAAGCCAGATATGTGAGGGCCATGTGCTGGCCACTTCTAGGCGATGGTGCATTTCTTCATTCCTCATGAAGGGTGACACCTCCCCAGCTGTGTTTCTTCCCTGTTTTTCTCCCTCCCTCATCTCAACTATTTTCCCACCACTCTGTACTTAGGAAGGAAGGAAGGAAAGAAAGAAAGAAGGAAAGGAGAGGGAGGGTCTGAGGGAAGTCCTGCCTTAGTCCTGCCCTGCTGCCCTTTCACCATCCCCTTGCCCCCTCCTCCTGGCCTATCCTGGGGGTCTCCCATCCTATTGCTAAGGAAACTTTGGATACAAAGCCGGGTCTCCTCTCATGCAGAGGGAATGGGCCTCCCTCTGACTTTGCCCTCGTACCCATCATGAGCAACCTGGGTAAGGAGAGCAAGCACAGCAGCAGCAGCCTTGAGGAGGAGGTAAGTGCAGCTGGGTGCCCCATTGGGGAAGTGGGGCTGGGCTTGGTGCCACGGGTGCTTGAGGGCCAGGCTGGACATTTGACCTCTGCTGTCCAGGGCTCCGGGCAATCCGCATCACCATTAAGCCCCGCCCGCATGGCCTGAGAGGAATAGTGAGACTTCTCCAATGGACCATGCCTTGGCACTTGCCCTGGTCCCACCCCCTTCTGCCAGAGATTCTCAGATCTGTCCCACTCCTGCCCAGGCCCCCACAGGCATCCTTGACATGAATGATGTACAGCTGGCCACGCCCACCCAGTAGACCACACCCCCTCCATCCACACCTACCCAGTAGGCTGCACCCACCCTGGCCACACCCACCCACCCACCCCAAGGACAACCACAATGCTGATGCGGCCCTCAATGAAATTGAGTTTGATACCCCTGCTATAAAGCATGTAACATATATCTTGAATCATGACTAATCCATCCAAGCTGCTGCCTACTCAAATATTTCTCATGCATTTTTATGGAACAAGGAAACCCTCTGGCATAATTAGGTTTATTTACTAAATAGGGAGAGGCATGTTAAAAGCTAGAGTTTCAATATGTTTGCATACAAAGTAAAAATGAACCCTTAACCTGTTTATTTATAGCAATAAACAAGGCAGACTTAATAAAGATCTTAATCTAGAAATCTCTTATAGCTGTAGGATAAAAATAACTGGAATCATTGTGATACTCAAACTTTGGTATTTTCACTTAACCTGCTATTGCTGAAAGCTTAAACTAAATGAAGGGAGTTTTATTTGACTAAGCTAGCATTTTAGGACCATGCAAAGCCTCTGACAGGCACTTCCCCTTCTGTTAGTTCCTGAAACAATGGTGGCGCAGTAGTTAGAATGCAGTATTGCAGGCTAATTCTGTAGACTGCCAGCTGTTCGATTCTCACCGGCTTGAGGTTGACTCAGCTTTCCATCCTTCCGAGGTCAATAAAATGAGGAGCCAAATTGTTGGGGGTAATATGCTGACTCTGTAAACCTCTTAGAGAGCTGTTAAGCCCTATGCATAGGTATATAAGTCTAAGTGCTGTTAATTTTGCTCAAAAAATGAAGCAGCTGCTTTGGAAAATATCCCTGATTCTTTGCAGGTGCATGAAGAGACATTTCTTTGGAACTGCCCTGCGTACGTATGGATGGACCTCTGCAAGGGCAACAATCTTGAAAGAAGCCACAAGAGCCTTTCCAAGGACACAGATTCTTTCACACTTCAAAGACAGATGCATTGTTTGCATTGACATGCTTTGCATAACTGAACTGGGCCTACCCCAACTGTGCACAAAACAGGGATGAATGCACTTTAAAGGGGGCCCTCCACATATTACCAGATTTGGGCTTGACCTCTTGGTCACTGAGTGAGGTGGTTGTTAAGTGAGGAGCCACATGAATGTCCGCAATCCCAGCTTTCCCAGCTGCAGTTATTAAGTGACTGTGCAGGTTGTTAAATGGCCTATTAGAAAGAAGTCTTCTGAATCTTCCAGTGAGGAGGGGAAATCCTGGTGAGTGCCAGCATTCTGAAAGGCTCAGAATCTTGACATTCACTAGCATTTTTGCCACGTTTCAGGTCTGTTCCTCCAGTACATGGGAGGATTTCCCCTCCCTGCACGAAAGGGAAGGAAAATCCCTCAGTGTACCGGGGAAATGAATATCAAATCCAATGTCACCTCTGCTTGCAACCTTCTCCATTGGCTTTCTGGGAAAGCCATAAAAGAAAATCCACAAATGGCAATCACATGATCCCAAGGCACTTGGCAACCAATTGTAAATCGAAACAGGTTATCGGCGCAGGAAATGTGATCATGTGATTAAGGGGTCAGCACTACAGTTTACAATGGCCAGAAGTCCTTTATTGGCCCCTAAATCACTTGTTCCGAGGCTGTTGTGATGGGTGAAATGTCATTCAAACGCTGGTTGTAAGTCAAGGACAACATGTATTTTGACTCAGTCTTGCTATATCAACAAACACCTAAGTGAAATTAGTTTGTTAGGATGCTGTAGAAGGATGTCAAAATTGTCTACCCTAAAGATCTCTCTTATCTGAGCAAATATGGAGAGGATAGGCCCTAGAATATGCTGTGTTAGTTTCTGCATCGTTCTGAGTTTCTGTTGCTAGGATCACACGAGCAGTTAAAGATCTCAGTGAAGACACTGAAAACAACAAAGCAATGAGCACTAGACATTTCAAGAATGGAGATTTTAATACCAGCAACTTTAATTACCCTGACATAATTTGTTATACTTCAGCTATATTTAAAAATTAAAATGTATTGCAATTACCTTACTACATTAAAAACTTGGCAGTATTTTTTCATTTTGAAAATTCATAGGTAATATCTTGAGGCAGAACCATGTCCTTCCCTCTTATAATTTTAACATCACTTCTTTGTAGAATATGGTTAACTGAGAGGTGTCATTGGTCTAAGTCACTCAATAAGCTTCCATGGCTGAGTATGAATTTGTGTTTTCTCAGTGAACCTCCTTCCCAAAGTTAAGAAAGCTTCATATGAGAATTTACTAAAATGTCTTTTGCATGTACGTTATAAGTGAGACTTGATCTTTGATAATATGCTACACTGTTTCTTTTGTCATTCTCTTCATGTTCTATTAAAAGATGTTTAGAAGTTCCATTGTTTTATATTTAAATATACAATAATGCTAATAATACGTAGTAACATCAAAACTTAATTTTATTTCTGCACACTCCAGAATTTGAGAAGCTTTTTATTCTGGAGATCTGCTACACCAACCATTCACATGTCATCTAAACACATTAAGAATGCTTGACATGCTTTTCTTTTCTTTTAACCATTTTCCTGGTGCGGGGAACCATTATGCTATTGTACAAGGTATTCTTACAGATCACCAAATGTTCTCAGTATTACCACTGCAGTCTGTAAGAGGTTCTGAGTCATCACACCCACAACAGTCCTTGAGTCCTTAAAGCAAGGTAATGTTTATTAATACCTCCCTGGACATTTTTCACTTCAGTGCCCTGTTAACAGGAAATGGCTGACCTTGGATGAATGTCTTGGTTCAACAAATTAAGCCCCAAAGGTCCTTACTTTTCCTACCATCCCTAGCCTATTGATAATTATATTTTTTGGCAAAAGTAAGAGATCAGGAAAATGAATCTGATATTAGAAAACAAGACTTACGCAATTTTATCACACACTGTGCACTTCCAACTGCTGTCAGTTGCTAAAACACGACACTTGTTACAAACTCTCAGGCCACATATTTGGCAGTGGTCACCTCTGTCAAAAATTAAGCCCAAATTTTTCTGACAACGAGTGCAGACCCTGATGTTATCTTGTTGGTGATGTCGTCCACCTTTACGTTTCACTTCCAATAACTCGTTCTTTAGTTTTCTAGAAAAGAAAAGAAAAATCCAGAAGGTTCACAAAAATATCTTGAAATATATGAATTTGCTGTTTCGTTAATAGTCAAAAGGTTTGTGCAAGAGACAATTTGAGACAAGCATCAAAAACTGATGTGTATCTATTAATGAGGCATCCCAATATTTTTTCATAATTGTAATATTATAGTACATGAAACAAGCCTGATAAGATAAATGAAGTGCCTGATTGCATTTTGTATACTAATCACCTTCTCCATCTTAAAACTGAAGGGCAAAGAGGATGGGGTTAATACATTGAGGACCATCTTAGTTTAAAATATTTTTAACCCTTTGCTCCCAGAGAGCATAAAATATTCATAGGGTGATTTTCTACAGAGCAATCTTGCAATCAAAAGGAAAGATACGTAAATCCCAATACAAAATCCATCTAGTTGGCAGGACTTCTGGGAAATGAAATGCCGGTATACCCGCATAAGGTGTGGGACTGGTAGTGAGAAGACCCATCTTCTAGTTCATGGTCAATCATGGAAGTTTTCTGGGTCACTTTGGCCCATTTTCTCAGCCCAACATATCTGTTGCACACGAAAATAAGAAAGAGGTGCTCCATATATGCTACCTGAGCTCCTGAGTTAAAGTTGGGATGTGTGTGTGTGCTGTCGGTTCAATGTCAACTCCTGGTACTAGTGTCTGCCATTTTCTTGGGGGCATTTTCAGAAGTGGTTTGCCATGGCCTTCTTCAATGGGGTGTGAGAGAGTACAGGCAGTCCTCAACTTACATCCACAATTGAGCTCAAAATGTTAAGTGAAACATTTAAGTGAATTTTGCCCTATTTTGCCACCTTTTGTGCCACAGTTGTTAAGTGGATCACTGCAATTGTTAAATTAGTGAATCTGACTTCCCCTTACAAGACTTTCTTGCTTCTAAGAAGGTCACAAAGGGTGATCACATGACCCTGGGATACTGCAATCTTCATAAATATGAGTCAGTTGCCAAGTGTCTGAATTTTGATCATGTGACCATAGAGACAGTGCAACGGTCGTAAGTATGAAAATCATCTTGTCATTTTTTTCAGCACAATTTTGAACTGTAACTACATGAGTTGTTGTAAGTCGAGGACTACCTGGAACTGGCCCAAGTCACCTGGCTGGTGTTGTGCCTATGGCAAGAGTAAAACTCTTGTTCTCCTGGTCTCTAGCCTGGTGCCTTAACCATTATAACTGGCTCTTACAAGTAAGATAGGCTGTCCAAATGAAAGAGCAGGCCAGGACTGGTGACAGTTTCAGTCCAGACTGTTTGTTCTGTCATGGGTACTATAAAATATTTTATCCATTATAAAACAAGCTCTGCTCAAAAGTAGTTATAGGCAAAGAGATGAAGCAAATGGATGTGGAGTGTGAAATCATATTAACATGGCTGGGACATGTATCATAATTTGATTGCCTTACAGCAACAGACAAAGCTTTGTTCAATTTGGGTCAACAATTCAAGTGTGATACATTAATGTTTCATTGCATTAGATCAGTGGTTCTCAACCTTTTTAATGCTGCGACCCCCAACCGGTCGTAAGTTGAGGACTACTCAACTGGTGCAGCACCGTTTGCAGAATGGGACTTTTGGCGGGCTCAGCAGGGCAGAGACAGCCTGGACAATTCCTATTGGCTTTTGAAAGCCAATAGAATTAGACTCTATTCAAGAGAGTCTATTCTATTGGCTTTCAAAAGCCAATAGAATAAAAGGGAGTAGCACAGCTAAGGAAAAGGGGGAAAAAATGGCGGACTGCGTTGTTTGGCGACCCCCGTGAAATGGTCGTTCGACCCCAAATGGGGTCCCGACCCACAGGTTGAGAACCACTGCATTAGATGGAGCTCACTCCTGAATCCCACATTGCAATTTTAGCAAACAGCCTGATATTCTGTCTCCACAAGGCAATTATGCAGATCCTGCAGAGATGCAGTTGTTAAGCATATACAGTAATTTGTGCCTCATTTATACAGCATGATATGCATTTGCTCCAGAAAAGAAAGATACAGAAGATTAAACCTATTATGAGCTATACAAAGGCATCACATTTGCTCCAAAAAAGATAAGGAAACCTTCAGAAGAATAATGCTAAAATACCCATTCTGCTATTTTTTGGCACCATCTCTTTCAAGTCAATACTGTTTTACATTTTCGATCCATCTAATCCAACTCTGACATACTAGCTTGGCACTAGCTACAAAAGTCATCTTTTTGTCCTCTAACATTTGTATTGACACTGATAAGGCACTCTGAGTCACACATACATTCATATGTTAAAGCCTAATTCACTTGACAAATACTGCATTAGTGCAGGAACAAGAAACTGCTTTAATAATATTTTTTTGCTAGCTAGTAGCTAGCAGCTTCCATAACTAATCAAAATGTCACCAAAATGATGATAGAGATGATGACTACATCATGCAAATGCTACCAATACTGTTGTATCCCAACTTTTGACATAAGTATTTGCATGATAACATTAATGTCCAAATTTTCTTATTTCTCCCCACTCCCAGCCCCATGCAGATCCCCATCCTAAGGGGCAGAGCAGAGACATTGTGCAAGTAAGCATGAATAATCTGGGGGAAGAGCAGATGTCTTAAAGAATATAACTTTAAGCAGTAGCCCATCATCAATTCACTTTTTCCACATTACAGTACAACATTGGTTCTCAACGTTTTCTTTGCCCATGGATCCCCTTTAAATACCTTTTGTGGCCACAGACCAAGGCCACGGACCCCAAGACCTATCTCAAGATTTAAATCATAACATTTCTTCAAGCCTTCACAAACTTCCTGTGACAACGGACCATGAACCACAGGTTGAGAACCACTGCAATACAACATAATTCAGAAGTGAATGGCAAACTGGAAATTTCAAATAAAATAAAATGCTCCCATGTCTCTCATACCGTTTTGACTTCCATAAACTGCAAGTATATGTAAATAGCAGGCAAAATGACAGTTTGATAAAACAAAGATCTCAGGAGGAACTGAGGTTCACCAATGTAAAGTCTGGATTAATAATAATTAATAACTCATTAATATCCCAAGGAAATAATGGCTACAATTTTAATTTGGTCAACATCCCAACATGGAACAGGTTCTGGTACTCCCAAGGAGAACTATTAATTCACATTAATCCAGTTAGACCATTAATCCACATGTGATATAGTAACTATCAGCAACTCTCAGGGATTGCAAAACAAGACAGTTTCTCAGGCCAATATGAAGATGTCAGAGGCTGCAATTTGACTGTTAATATGCAAAACACATATGCTACCATTTAGCAATGATTATGCCCTGAATCAAATTATTTGATTAACCGATGTCATTAGTCTGGAGCTGCTGTTTCAAACCTCTGCTCAAATATGCTTCTCCTTTATTCTTCACTATGCAGCATAATTTATTAAATAAAAGACAGGCAGCTCTTCCAACGCTTCACCTCTGTTTTCTGCAAAAATACTACTTTCTCTATCGAACTGAAGGACCACCAGTGGAAATATAGGGCTATTAATTTTCAGAAAAATATATTGAAGTGGTCTAAAAACATCCAAATCCAACTATTTCATTTAACTTAAGCACTGTAGGTCTGACCTTGGCCAGGATATGAATAAAAAGAACTCTCCAATAATCTTAAGAATTGAAGAAAAGAAGAATAGAGATGAGATGAACTCTGGTACTGCTTTAGTTCATTATAAATTCTTGCAGCTGTGTTTTGCAACTCCCTCTGGTATCTTCAAAACTGAATCATTTGATGATTGTCACAATATACTCTGATTTCAGAACTGAAGTAATTAAGAGTTTCTGGAGAACATGCAGTAGAGGAGGCAAAGGAATAAGCTGAACTTCATTTACTTTCAATCCAATTTCTAAACAAATACTGTCTCTTGTACAATAATGCCAAATAGAATTTTCTACATCAGAACAAACTCAATAGCAACATAGTTATATACATGGAGAATAAGAACAGTTTTTGTCAAAAAGTGGGTTTTTAAAGGTAAAAATCTAAGTGCATAGATGCTCAATTAAAATACTGTAGATTAGACACTTGGCCTTCTTTCCTTTGAAATCAGTGAGTCTAATGCTTAAAAGACAGACATTTTCATTTATTTGAGCTAATATGTGAACTTTAGAATAAGATTGCTTGGACTATAAAAGACAACTTTAATTCAAATATTATGAACAAGGTACATAGGATGAAAATAATGCATTTTACAGCTCTATTAATCCATCAATGGATCTGGAATAATTACACTATTAATATATTACCATTCCAGGGAAAAAAAACAGAGTTAAGATTATACAATATGTACGAGAAAGAGGAGGACTTAAGATACCTAATTTGAAACTGTACTATGATGCTGTGGCTTTAACATTGGTTAGTAATTGGATTAACTTAACAAATCAAAATATACTTTCTTTGGAGGGATGGGATTTATTATATGGATGGCATGCATATTTAATTTATAACAAGAAAGTAGATAGGGCTTTTAAATCTCATATTTTAAGAATTGCTTTACTGCGTGTCTGGAAGAAATATTATTATAGATTAAATTATAAAACACCAATTTGGGGGATTCCTGGACATGCAGTAGAGGGGATATGGAAAGGTGTGAAGTTGGATAGGATTTCTTATAATCAATTGTTTAAATTGGAAGGGAAGGATTGGCAATTAAAATCGCTAGATGAATTAAGGCAAGAAAATATTGTTTACTCTTGGTTTCAGTATAGGCAATTGTTAGATAGATGGAGCTTAGACCAAAAGGTTGGTATTACTTTAGAAGATGAGAATTTGATAAGACAAATTAGAGATCAAAGTCGAGCTCATATAAGGAGAGTTTATAATGTATTAGTGGAACTGGATTCAGAGACAGGATTAGTCAAAGATTGTATGATAAAATGGGCCCAAAATTTTCAAGAGCCGATTTTATTAGATACATGGGAGGCAATTTGGGTTGGGAATGTGAAGTTTACTCAGGCTCAAAATTTAAGAGAAAATTTTTATAAAATGTTTTATAGGTGGCATTTGGATCCCCAAAAATTGTCTCACATGTATTCTAATTTACAGCCTAAGTGTTGGAGATGTGGTTGCTTGGATGCAACCTATTATCGTATTTGGTGGATGTGTAGAAACATAAAAGCTTTTTGGATTAAGATTTGGTGAACATTCAAAAGATTTTTAAGAGAAAGATAAAGTTTACACCACAATTATTTTTGTTAGGTATTATTGAAGATTGTGATGTTAAAGAAACTATTTTAATGTTGAATCTTATTACGGCTGCAAGGTTATTGATTGGGCAATATTGGAGGAAAGATTCTTTGCCCACTATAGAAGAATGGTCACTTAAAGTTTCTAATTTAGCAGAAATGGCTAAAATTTCTGCTTATTTGAAGGATCATTCACAAGAAAGATACATCTTGGTGTGGAGAAGATAGATAAATTATGTACAGAATAAATATGGGATTAGAAAGTATCATAGTTTAATGTGGGAATTGTTTATATTGTTATTTTTGTTTTTCTTTGAATTTTTTTTTGTATTTGAGTTAAAGTATGTTAGGGATTTGGTTATTGGTATAGTTGAATAAGCTTAGTTAGAGTTTGTTTGCTTATTTGTAACCTTGTAATCAGCTCTGGAAAGTGAGGGGGGGCTTAGGGTAGGGTGGAGGGGAGGGAGGAGGGATATTGTATTGTAATAATTTGTATAAAACTTTTCAATAAAAAAATATATATATTATCATTCCAATATATTATGTGTACATTATCCTAGGCTAGGAATATAACCAATTATCCTCACTACATTATAACATATTGGCAACACTCAAACTGAAACAATAAAATGGCAGTTTAAAACAGAAAGCCAAATTCTGAACAGTTTTATATAAGTAACTGTGAGAACAATGATTTTGTTACCTAAGTGTCCATGAGATATGTACAGGAGAGACATCCTGTACAGAGAATTTTGCAAAGAGACTACTATAACAAAAAAATTTTCCCTTCTGGATTTACAAAAGAAGCTTGTTAAATTTTTTATGAATTCTGTGTGATGAGACAAAGAAGAAATGAAGAGAAATCAAATTCTACAACAGTATTTGAAGGAACTAAAGATTAAGACTATTAGAAGTAAAAGGAAGGAATATAAAGTTGATTTATTTGACCAAATTAAAACAAGATACAGTGTTATCTTTGGCAACATTTTAAGGACTATCTGATGACATCAGAACTAATGGATTCATTTTTAGATAAATTATGGGATATGGGATGAAGAGATAATGTTTTTAACCTTAGAGGGAATGAAGAGTTATTAGATTTACTTATACTTGTTATGATGAAGGTTGGGGTTACAAGTTACTTCTTTATATATTTATTTTCCCTTTCCTTATTTTATTCTTTTTTTTCTTGCCCTTTTTCCTTTTTATATTCTTTTTTTTTAGTTTGCATTAGATTTTACTATTACAATAAAAATTCTTAAAAATATATAAGTACACTCCAACAACTCTGCAGACTCCTCTGTTACTGAAGAATCACAGCTTACATTCTACTCTGCTTGTTCAAACATCTTTTTGTTACCGACTCTGGTCTTTCTGGAAGGCAAAGTGCATCTAAACCCACAGACCTACATGAACTTACAGCTAATAAAGTCTGCCCAAGAGCAACCAGTCAGCTTCTTAGCTTCATATTGATCTTTAATATTTGAGTGGTATGGACTTTGGGCTGAAGATTTCTCCCTCTACGGAGGCTAATTTGCGACTGATTTCCTCTTCTATTCTCTGCAAAAGATTTATCTGATTTTTGGCCAATTTTCTATGCTTATCTATCTTGCTTAGAATCAGGATAAGTAGAAATACAAGCAAAGTACAAAACTTTAAAAATAGTACGTAGCTTGAATACTAACCATTTTCTTAAACTGCCATCATCAGTTTTGCTCAAGGCTTATTAATGCTTATTGTGCACGAGCAGCTTCATTTGTGCCATTTGGGTTTTAAACTGAAGCACATTATTTGTGTTAAGAGAAGGCAAATGCAAAATTCTTTCCTCACTATGTACAAAAATGTACATAGTAAGGAAAGATTATTTAATAGCCTAAACTATTTTATAATGTACACAGAAATTAACTAGTGTGCTTTCTATAAAATATTGGAAAACAAAGAAATAACGATAGTCTATACTATAGATTAATAGTTAATATGAAATGCATTCCCTGAACTATAATACACAATATTAGTTAACTTAAAAATAACAATAAAAGAAGAATTTGTATAAGAACTTATAGCCTATGAACATAAGCATATTACCATAAATCAGTGACACCAGAAGATATAACCATATTCAATAATTTCAACCAAGTATGAAATGTTTGTGCTATAGTACACACAAAAATAATGTTAGTGCTAGACACAGCTATTATTTTGGGCAACTTATCCCGATTTCTGTGAAACTATGCAGGACTATATTGTGCATGTGTACATGTTTTCATACCAACAATTACTAATTAGGCTCCAGTTATCACAAAGAATAATCTTTTTAAAAAGTTTAATGCCAAAGCTGTGCACATGAAAAAGGAGCAAAATATAACATTTATAACTATTGCTACTAACACATTTCCAAACCAAGTTTTAGTATTTCAAAGTTTAAATAATATAGATATTGTTAATGATTACCTGATTCGTTTATCTTCCAATTTTTTCAAGTATTCATCTCTTTTTAATACTCCCAATATTGTTTCTCTTTCATGTTCTAATAAAAACGATAGATTGAGTATTTCTGCATTGTTAGACATGTTCCTTCAATTGTTATATTCTTTAATAGAGGTGTTTTCTGGCAGATTTTAAGAGCACATCATTGAAAACATCCAAATGCTATAGTTTCTTGTCAGGAGCTAATTCATATATTTCATATCAGTGCCAAAAGAGATTTTGGTCATTTTAGTGATTTGAATGTTCACTGGAACTTTTGCTTGAATTCCTGAACATGCTATGAACTTCTTTCATAGGTTATCCTCAAGTTAATAATTGCCCTGAGTCGTTTTACCTGAAATGAAAACAACAAAATTAAGAATTAAAATTAAATATATATTTACTTAAACTTGTTTGTTGAATGATTTCAATGTTTAATAATTTCAAGACAATAGTGAATGCCCATCTGTTTGCACAACTGGAATATTTAATTAATAGAAATAATAATTGAAATTGAATGACAATTAAAAATAATAGCAATGACAATCAAAATGAAACAGACACCATTCATAACTCACACTGCCCCTTCCTAAAAGCAATTTCCATCTTGATGACTAAAGTTCTGCTTAAATCCAGGGAAAATCCAGACTTTAGGTATTTGATTCAGTATCATGTAGGCTTTTTAATGTCATGATCAGCACTTTGAATTTTACCAGTAAACAAAATAGTTAGGGAAATTATTTCAACAATTGAACAATGTCTGACCGCAGCATTCTGGACCTGCCAAAGAGAATATTTCATATGATTCTAGTTAGATTTTTCATTTCCAGGAACAGACACAGTTGAAAAACTTGTTTTGACTGAACAAATTAATACTGATCCTTGGAATCGAACAAGGAATCCCTAGACTCCTGGATTCAGGCTGACTTCAGCAGTCCAACTGAGATGTGCTTCTGAGTCTTCACAAAGATACGGTAACTCTGTCTAACAGAGGTTGAAGCATATTTCCTGATCTTCCATCTAAATAAGATTATAGTATTTCTGTCTCTTCTGGCTCAAACTTCAATTTGTTTGCCAATTTTCAACACTGAATAGTGATTTAGAACTTAAACAGTCTCTTGATTTTGACTGAAAGAAGAAAGAGTGTCATTAGCATGGTATCTATTGTACACCAATGCTTATACATATACAGGATGGATTTTGTTTGTGTCTGTGTAATTCAAGTATTATGTGGGAAGGTGAAACCATAGATGTTGCATATCCACAACAATACTGGAATAGTTTGTGAACACTCTCCTTCAGTACCATGTACAAGCTAAATATTAGAAGAGAAGATGGACACCTAAAGGACATCACAAGCCAACAGATTTTGGATGAATGGGAATCTCCTAGCACTACCTTTTGAAATGATCTCTGGAACTTAACAAAAGCCATTAAGAAATCAAATAGAACCAAGAGAACTATATTTTGCTTTGTCTAGTTCTTTGTGGAGATTATTCAACTAGTCTTTCTCCCATAACAAGCCTTAAAGTCAGCTTGAAATAGATCTAGGTAATTGATGCCATCCACTTTTCTAGAATACTATAGAGCTATAATACTTCACTATACACTTCAAGACCTTTGCCAAATATTACAATAGTGAATTCTGTTAAAAACTTAATAATTTACAGTACAAAATTTCACCACTACATTTTTACAGATGAAAAAAATAATTCTGTATCACAAAGTCAAATTCATCATTTGCCACTGAGTCTGTTCTCCCCAGCCAGCAAGGGTCAAGCATGATGTAATACATCTCACCTCTGAAAAGAACCTGCCCATATTCTCATGCTACCTACATTGTAAATTATCTATTTTATCTGGACAAGAACAGACCAAATTTGCATCCAATGAATCTATAGGACAGTGGTGGCGAACCTATGGCACGAGTGCCAGAGGCGGCACTCCTAGCCCTCTATGTGGGCACGCACACATGCCGTCGTCCCAGCCCCCCTCTCCCTGCAGCCCCCTCCACACCAGCAGCCCCCCTGGAGGAGAGTCACCCCCGAGTGCAGCCTGCCCAGAGCAGCGCAGCCAAGCACATGGCAGCTGGGCAGCAGATGGTGCTGTGGGGTGAGGGCAGAAGGCATGGCTAACATGGCACTGCAGGGCCACCTGGGTGATCTGCAGGGCCGCCTGAGTGATCTGAGGGTGGGCTGGGTGAGGGCGGAGCAGGGCAGGTTCAGGTGGGTGGGGCAGAGGCGGGCCAGTTTTTGGGCACTTGGTCTCTAAAAGGTTTGCCATCACTGCTATAGGATATGCCAATCAGTCTGACTTGAATTGGATTCTCATAATCGGCATTTCAGGTAGTTCTTGAGTTGCAATCACAATTGAGCCCAAAATTTGTGTTGCTAAATGAAACATTTGTTAAGTGAGTTTTGCCCCATTTTACAACCTTTCTTGCCACAGTTCTTAGGTGTATTACTAACATGGTTGTTAAGTGAATCTGCTTCCCCATTGACTTTGCTTGTCAAAAGGTTGTAAAATCTGATCACATGACCGCAGCACATTGCAAGTGCCATAAATATGAAACAGTTGCCAAGTATCCGGATTTTGATCATGTGACCATGGGGATGCTGCAACAGTCGTTAAGTGTGAAAACCAGTCATAAATCCGTTGTGACTTTGAACAGTCACTAAATGAACTGTTCTAATTTGAGGACTACCCATGTTTAAAATTTAAAGGCCACAAGACTCAAAATTTGATCTGACAGAAGAAGGAAAAGCATCCAAACCTGCAGTTTTTGTGCATGTGTGTGGGTTGGCAGCATTGGATGAAAATAGTAGGTGTGGTAGATCTTTCCAAAGAAAGTAATTTTGCAGAGTTTCAATCTAAAAGTTGCAAGACCATTTTTGTAATTCTTTTTCATAACTTTCATAAATGGGTTGGGGAGAGGAGGCAGTACACTATGGGGAGAAACACAGCTGTTCCAGCTTTATTTTTCTGGGCAGGGCCTTGCTGCCCTGCCTCCCTTGGCAAGGAGGGGGGGGCACACTGCTCAGAGAGACAAAGTTGCTTGTGATTTTCCCTGCTGGCTTCCCTGTTGACTTTCTGAAGAAGCCAGCAGGGAAGGTTGCAAGTGGCGACCACATCATCATGGAAGTCTTGGCAATCCATCATAAGTGTAAACAGGTTGCAAAGAGTCCAGATTTCAATTAGGTAACCATGGAGCTGCTGCGACAATCCTGAGCATCAGCCGTAAGTCCCTTCATTCAGCACCCTTGTCATTTTGAACCGTCATGGAACAAACAGTCATAAGTCAAGGACCACCTGTATTTTATTCCTGAAAAGTCTAATAGCAGAACTTTCATCAAATACAGAACTGATTTTTCAGAAACAGAATGGGGCTCATTTCTGCTCAAATATAAACAATAAGGAAGGTAGATCAACAGGCTTTGAGTAAATCATTATATCTAACAACTGACACAAAAATTTCCCTTATTTTATTCCTAAAGATCTAGCAAGAGCAGCACAATAACCTAGCATCCCAATATGATAGCACACACTTCAGTCTGATCTGTTGAGATTATAAAGTTACTTTAAGAAGCAAAGGAAAAAAGTATTATTCAATTACATCATTCTAGAATAAATCTTTGAAGATTTTACAGAGTGAAATGATTTCTTATGCTATATTTCAAGCGGAAATCACAGAAATTTATAACTTTGGAGCATCTCAGTTTTATTCATTGCTCCAACAGGAAGTTAAAGCAGCAGTTACTATGTTAAATAAATGGCCTAATCAAACCTCATTTCTTATTCTTATGTTATTCTTATGCTTAAAAAAGGTAAATACACAATTACAGGAGTCTATGAATGTATATGGTTTTAAATGAGAATAATCATGTAAATGGCATTCTGATCAATCAAGCCTTACCATAGCTGAAACGTTCCTTCTAAGCAACTTTACAGGGTACTGATACTGGTTACTCTATCCATTAACCTGAAAAACCAGCTGTTCTTCTATCAAGAAGCTATTTGCACAAAAGACACACCCAGTAGTATGATGCAATATTTATCACCAGCAGACAATTATCAAACTACAAGGAAATACCTGCAGTAATAACCTATTAAGTTCCAAAGGAAAAAATAAATTCTGTTTTCCATTGTAAAAAACTAAAATGAGTAGTGAAGTGCCAGCCTTTTAAGAGTAATTATTGACTACCATTTCTAATCACTTAAGATGATTTTATTCCTATTTCTGTGTAAGGATAAATAACTAATCACCAATCAATCACAGATTGTCCTACTTCCTCCTGGGATCTAATATATACTGTACATTGTGAGTAGAATTGCTAAGAGTATAAGATTTAAGAAACAGATTTGCCATACCAAGTTAGAGCACTATCTCTTCTTCTAGTATTTCTTACATTAATTAGCATTCTTTTCCCAATGGCATCTTAAATTCTGGGTATTATAATCCAACATACCCAGAGGGCAGCAGATGAGAAAAAGCTAACTTTATTAGTACAGTCGGTTGCAAAGTCAACCAGATGTTTAAATTGGATTTGACACTTTTATCCACCTATCAAGTCCTTGCCAAGGATCTGGGGTAGCAGATGTTGTTGTTCAATGAATTAAAGGTATCCTGGATGTAAGTTGTTCCAGTAAAGCTGCCTTTTGCAATTGACTGGTGGTGATTTTGTCAATGCTGATGGTCTTCAAGTGGTGCTCCAGATGCCTTGGGACCAACCATGTGATCAACTTTGCTTATTAATTATGGCAAAAAAAGTCATAAAGTTGGGCACAACTCATTTAACAAGTGCCTTGCTTAGCAACAGAAATTCTGGTCCCAATTTATTGCAAGCCAATGCTCTAATTATATTACTTTTAAAAAACCTACACTATTATTTATTTATTTGTTTATTTGTTTATTTATTTATTTAATTTTTGTGCCACCCATCTCCCCTATAAAGCGACTCTGGATAATTTATACATCATAAAAAGATAAATAGAAAAGTAATTAAAACATTAAAACTATGCAGATTAACATTTTAAAATTATACAACCCCCCCCAAGTGTAAGACAGTGTTTTTAGCCTGTGAACCACCTCCAACAATAAGAGCTCTCCTCACGCTGTGCATACTATTACATCCTGCATCAGCTGTAGCTTCCAAATACTCTTCAAGTGTGTAGCCTCACATAGACTGTGTTGCAGTAATCCAATCAAGAGATGACTTAGGGCGCAAGTGGTGCACAACACAAGGTTGCACCAAGGCCTTATGTAGGTATTTGGCAACGAGCTTCTCCTAAATCCAATTGACATTTATTGTATTTGTCACAATTTATTATTAAGCTATACATTAACATTTCAATGCA